AAAAATGAAACGAAGGGAAAGTTATAAAGTTTTAAAGCAGCATGGTGGGGAACTGGCAGGTGGCACGGTGGTTAAGGGCGTTGGACTCCCACATGGCCAACCACGATTCGAGCCCTGTACCTGGGCGCTTGCTTTCTCACTTTCTGTCTCTCACTCACTTTGTCCCTCTCTGGTCAAATTAAAATACATAAATAAAGTTAAATAAAATAATTCTTTTTAAAAAAAAGGTAGCATGGTGGTTAAAGTACTGGATACCCACATGGTCAACCATGATTTGAGTCCCAGATCAAACGGCTTGAAAATCATGCCAGGCAGCTGTGTGTATATGCCCAAAACCCTGAGAGAAGAGATTGTGGTATGGCCATCCCCATGCGGGGTGATTTCTTTCTCTCTCCCTGGTGAAAACATGCACCCTATAGCAAAATCTTAAAAAAAAAAAAAAAAAGTTAAAAAAAAATTATTACTTCTGAGTTCTTCTATTACTTACTTTGTAACTAATTATTATTACTTGAGTTTTTAGTTAGTTGTGTTTTTTATTTTTAATATGCCAGAGGTTGCACGTGTTTGCCATAGAGACAGAGAGAAAGGAAGGAGAAAGCACCCCTACAATAGAGTATGGTCACTGCAATCTAATCCCTACTTGGACCACAATATAATTAAAATTTTGAGGTAATTATTTCTTTCTTGAGGAATTTTTTTCACAGGTGTGTTGCTCCACTTTTTTTCTAGCATGGAAAAATCCAAGGCCAGTCTAAATTTTTCTTTAATCTATGCCTGGCTGCCAAAGCTTTTTTTTTTTTTTAATTTTCCGGGGTGTGTGTGCACTTGTTAGAGACAGAAAATGTGAGAATACACCTCCCGAGTAGGATAGTCATGCAGCAATCCCTCCTCCTCTATTTTTCCCTCCTTTCGGAATTTTGGGTATGTGTGTACACGTGCCCAGTGTTTATTTCAAGCCACCAGTTATGGAACTCAAGTCACACAGCCAGCCATGGGGAATCTAGGCATCTTACCCATGACGCCACTAGCTAGCTGGCCCCAAAACTTTTTTTTTTTTTCATTGCTGTTGTTGCCTGGGGCAATTGCAGGAAGTCCAAGTAATCTTACGAGGCTATGTCTCAGTGTTGATCATTCTGGGGCAATTTTCTCTCTTTTCTGTAAGACAACTGGCCTAATCACTCTTTAAAATGAGCACAGAAATAACTAGTCTACACTAAAGGAGACAGAAGGGAGACATAAAACCAAATGTAATGTATTGCCTGTGACTGGATCCTAGACTCAAGGATGGGGGAAACACTTAGAGTGCAATTTGAACAATTATAGACTTTTTTTTTTTTTACTAATGAGTGCATGTGGTTGCTGGAGAGAGATGGGCAGGGATGGAGGGATAGCCATTCTGTAATCCCTTCTCCTCCATTCTCTTCTTGGAATTTTGGGCATGTACACACATGCGCACATGCACGCACACACACACACACCCCTGCTGTTTTTGAAGCCTCTGGGTCCAGGACTTGAGCCATGTATTCAGTCATGTGAGAGCCAGCTGCTCTAACTATCCCACTACTTGGACCCCAGTTATAGACATTTAAATACAGTTGAGTGTCTGAGATAATTGTGTGTTTTTTTTTTTTTTAATTTTTAGAATTATTTATCATTATTGCTATTATTATTTTAATTTGCTACAGAACACATGTGCTTACCAGAGAGAGAGTGGGAAAGTGAGAAAGTAAGTCACTAGGTCCTGGACTCAAACTGCAGTCGGTCACGGGGGAGTCAAGTACCTTAACCACCATACTACCTGCTCACTCCCATCTCAGATTACTGAATCAGTACTGAATCTCTTGGGTGGAATATCACTTGAGAGTTGTAGATACCATGACTTTTTACTCCCATATGCCTCAATCTGTGTGTGTGTGTGTGCACGTGTGTGCGTGTACACAAATATATTTCCTAAGAGCAAAGACACTGTCTCACATAATTAGGATACGATTATCAATGGAAATTTACAGAATTTCTTATGGGTTCTACACTGTAGGGGTATATAGGTGTCTGTGTGTTTACTCACAAGATAAAATTAGATCCCCTGCCAACAGACAAGTCAAGTGGTCAGTCAGTTAGTCAAATATCCTTTCCAGACTCCAGTTTTCAATATTATGATTACATGTTCCCTTTAGTCCTTCTTCACTGTTCTCTAGTATTCTCAATCAATAGGCAAATGCTACTCCGAGTACATGCCACTCATACCCCCTCCTCAATTCACATTTATACTGCTTTACTGCTGGAGAAAACTGGCAGAAAACGAACGAGAACTTCCTATCTCTTCTACACGTTGTCTGTGCGTCATGAAATAAAGGTGATTAGGTGGTAAATGGGGTCTGGGAAAGTTCTTCAATCCAGATCAGTGACTTTAAAAATAATGTGAAGTCTATCAAGAATTTGGTAATAAATTGTTTTTAAGTCTTAGCTTATTATTAGCACAATGAGCTTTTGAGTTTTCTTTCCTTTGTAGGCATCTTGTGAGAACCTGGGAGGGGACAGGTCCTGTTTTGAACTAAAACTCATACTCCAGTTTTACAATGGAGTTCAGTCTACTCCAACTTCTCTGATCACACGCCCTTACTGGTAAATATGTTTGGACTATATCCTCACTATATGAATTCCTATTTGTAAATTTTCTGTACATATACTTCTCCACTTTGCTATGTGATAATTACTGAACACGTGTGTGGTACAAAAGATTTTCATGATCATTCTCTACTTCGTTATTTCAAAGCATCTTTTATGGAAGATTAACTGTGTAAAAGCCGTCCTGCAGCATGCATATCACAAGGCCCTACTACACAACATGCTGAAGGTGAAAACATGAGAAGGGTCACCATGGGAAACCCTTCCTCCACGATGGTATATGAACTAAGTTAAGACACACAGTGTCAGTATGTGTTTTAAACATTAATTAAGCTTATACTGTTTCTTTATTAGGATAAAAAAAGGTAAAAAATTAATTAATTAATTAAAAAAGAGGGCCAGCAGATGGTGTGGTGGTTAAGATGCAAGATCCCTACAGTTTGAGCCCCAGACCTGATGCCTTGAAAAACATGTTGGGGGACCAGCAGTTGGCATAATGGCTATGTCGCTGGGCTCCCATGTAGTCATCTGCGGTTCGAGTCCTGGACCCGGTGGCTTAAACTCATGCCAGTGTGTGTGCATGCGTGCCCAAGATCCCGAGAGGAGAATGGAGGAGAAGGTACTGTGGCATGGCCATCCCTCATGGGTAGTGATTTCTCACTTTCTGTCTTTCTCCCGGGAGTGTACACACCCTATAGCAAAAATCTCTCCAAAAAAAGAAAAACATGTTGGGAGAATGTGCATGTGTGTCCAAACTCCTGAGAGGAGAATGGAGGAGAAGGTACTGTGGCATGGCCATCCCTCATGGGTAGTGATTTCTCACTTTCTGTCTTTCTCCCGGGAGTGTACACACCCTATAGCAAAAATCAATCAATCAATCAATTAAGTAAAAAGAGTGAAACTCGAACTTTCTTCTTGCATCTTTCCAATGGATCAGTACTGGCTACCATTTTGGGGAACTACTGCTAATTAAGAAAAATGATAATAAACACCACCTACTCTAAATGACCAGCACAAAACTAATGTGACACATCACGGAGTATCCAAAAGGTAACCCTGACTAATTTTTAGAAAGCTAACACATTTAGTACTCAAAGTCATGGCTGTGCACATCTACCCACGACCACTAAGAGACACTTCTGAGCTGCTTAAGCAAAGTACCTATACCTACCACTTTAGTTTTGTTGCTCCTCATTGCAAATTGCTTCCCCCACTCAGAATATTTTTTTCAAAGTTCAGAAGAATGGGAGCCGAGGACCAGCAGGTGGCATGGTGGTTAAGGCGCTGGACACTTCCACATGGCTGACCACGGTTCAAGTCCTGGATCTGGCGGCTTGCTTTCTCACTTTCTCTCTTTCTCTGGGTGCTTGGTTCTAGTTCCAGACCTGGCAGCTTGCTTCCTCGCTTTCCCTTTTGCCCTCTCTGTCTTTCTCTGTTCAAATTAAAAAATAACAACAAATGAAATTAAATAATTTAAAAAAAAAAAAAAACAAAGAAAGAAAAATAGGAGCCACAGACAGTATAATGGTTACGTTGCTGAACTTGCACATAATCGACTAGGGTTAAAGTCCCAGACCTGATGGCTTAAAACACATGTGCGGATGTGCCCAAAATCCTGAGAGGAGAATGGAGGAGAAGCGATTGCAGTACAGCCATTCCCCGTAGGGGGTGATTTCTCACTTTCTGTCTCTGCCTCTCCAGTAAGTACACGTGCTCTATAGCAAAACTCTCTCTCTCTCAAAAAAAGAAAAAGTTCAGAAGAACAATTAGTGTCTGGCTCTCTAGGTCAAGAATTAATAAATTATGGTCTGTGGGCCAGTCACATATTGTTGTAAATAAAAGTTTCCTTGAAACACAACACACTCATTCACTTAAGTACTGCCTAGGGCTGCTCTGTGAGCCACAGAAGCATCTCTGAGTAGTGGCAGCGGGGACTGTGCAGCACATAAATTACTTCCAAGCCCTTTACAGAAAATGTTTGCCACCCCTGCTCTAATCCTCAATTCTTTTAAGCCATACCCCACCTTCTTACCTATTCATGTCACAGAAAAAGTACGAAAACAACACCCTCTGCAGTGTTTTTCTAGAATCTAGCCCAATAGAAAGAATGTCTTTAGGTGAAAACTTAAACCCTGGACAGGCAGGAGGACTTGGTTTTGCCTCAGGTGACATTTCTTCTGAGCAGAAGAGGTAATCTCACTTACCAGGCTCCCTTCTACTGCCAAGGAGTTCACGACAATAATCAAGGAAGAAAATGTTCTATTTTTCGACAAAAGCAAACTAAAATGTACCTTGCATTTCTCAAGTTAAATATCACTAGTGGATAACTGAGTTGGCTGCAATATTTGTATGTTAAGTACTGTTTAGTTCCTTACTTCTGAAAGCAAATTCTCCAGGGACATAGGATCCATCTTGCTGTAGACATTCCATAGATTCAAACTCACATCCTGCAACTGCAACAAGAATAAAAACATTGAAATATTAAGTCTACATCATGAAAACAATGCGGCAGTGGAGGGGGGCAGACACAGTGAGAGGGAAAAGGAGAAATCCCCCCCCCCCCAAGGAGGATGGCCGTACCACAATCCCATCTCCTCTATTCTCCTCCCAGGATCTTGGGCAAACTCGCACAAATGCCTGGTGTGAGTTTTAAGTCACCAGGTCTGGGACTCAAACTACGGTTGGCCATGTGGGAGTCCAACGACGGAACCACTACACCATCTGCTGGTCCCAGAATTATTTTCTGATGTTCAGAAATGGCTATTGTCACTACAACTACAAATGCATTTGCATTTACATTTTTATAATGTAGTGTAAGTAGCACCATAAGTCATATTTTTATTAATTATATTAGAACCTATACATACATTGTAATAAGTGCTTTCCCATTGAAAAAAGTTATTTTGCAGACTCTTTGGCACAACCTTTGACTGTGAGTGATGGGCACATATATATTTATACACTCACAAAAGAAAATACATATACATGTTATATTGTATTTTTTGCCTTTGTTTAAAATAACATTTAAATCAATATAGTACATGTCCATAATTCAAATCATCCAAAAGGCTTGCAATAAGAAAACTTAATCTCCTACTTGAACCTTTTACAAACCCCCACTAGTCTCACCCATCAGAAGAAACCACTTAGGATTCTTTTTTATTTTTATTTTTTTGGTATTTGCTTCCATATTTTGATATACTTGTCACTATTTCTTGACCTACCAATTAGAAACTGAATACTAAGTTATGCTATAGATACAGTTTTTCTATGCCCATTCTTTGTCTTTTTTTTTTTTTTAGAGGTTTTTGCTATAGGGCGCATGCGCTCGCTAGACAGAGAGAGACAGAGACAGAAAGCGAGAAATCACCCCCCAGGGGGGATGGCCACGCCTCAATCCCTTCTCCTGCATTCTCCTCCTGGGATCTTGGGCACGCACGCACACGTGCCCGGCGTGAGTTTAAGCCACTGGGTCCAGGACGCGAACCGCGGTCGACTACGTGGGAGTCCAGCGACATAGCCATTACGCTAACTAATGGTCCCTCTATGCCCATTCTTAATTCTACATTTTTTCTCTAAATATGCACACACATCCTAATATCATTTAATATCGTGACTTTTTGGTTATACTGGTAATTATTACTTATAATACGAAAACCATGTAAATACTGGGACTAGTTGGTGACGTGGTGGTTAAGGTACTGGATACTCCCACATGGCCAACCACAGTTCGAGTCCTGAACCTGGTAGCTTTGCTTTCTCACTTTCTTCCTTTCTGCATGTGTGTTTCTCTCTGGTCAAATTAAAAGAAATGAATGAATAAATAAATAAATATTTTTTAAAAAACATGTATTATTTTCTGTAGATTAAGTACATACCACAATCCTATTTGCTTGTTTTTTGTTTTTGTTTTTGTTTTTAATTTGCTATAGGGTTTGTGTACTTGCTGGAGATAAAGTGAGAAATCTCCTCCTGACGGGGGGGATGACCACATTGCAATCCCTTCTCTTCCATCCTCCTTTCAGGATTTTGGGCACATACACACATGCAACTCACATGTTTTTCAGGCCACCAGGTCTGGGACTTGAACCGTGTAATTGTTCATGTGGGATCCAGCTGCCTTAACCACCATGCCACCTGGTTGCCCCATTTGCTTTATTTTATTAGTACTAACAGGGCCAACAGATGGTGTGGAGGTTAAGCCAGTTGTATCTCATGTGGCCAATCACTTTGAGTCATGGATTCTGAAGCCTGAAGAACACACAGGGCAATGTGTGTGTGCATGCTCAAAATTCTGAAAAAGGAGGAAATGGAGAAGAAGGGATTGCAGCATGACTACTCCCCATGGCAGCGAGGGTGCTTTCTCACTTTCTCTCACTCTTTGTCTCTACCTGGTGAGTATGTGTGCCCTCTGGCATATTTAAACATATATATAAAAAATATATAAAAATATATAAAATATGTGTGTGTGTATGTATAAGGGTGTGTGTGTGTGTGTGTGTGTGTGTATAACTTTTCCTTCAAACAGTTCTATTGATTTTATCAACTATAATTTCCTAGAGTTCTCGTTTTCCATACACTCATTTATCACATCATACACTTGTTCTACATGTTGCTCAATCTGAAATTACACTGGGCAGCCTAAAGAGAGTTTTGTAATCTTGAGTTTTCCTTAATACCTTAAATTTCCTTTGATTCTTACTGAATTGGTCTTTTGTTTTCTTTTTCTTTTTTTTTAAAGAATTATTTATTTCATTTTATTTATCATTATTACTTTTTAAATTTTGCTACAGGGCACACATGCCTACCAGAGAGAGAGACAGAGACAGAAAGAGAAAGTGAGAAAGCAAGCCAACAAGTTTGGGACTCAAAGCACGGTTGGGCATGTGGGAGTCCGGCAGCTTAACTACCACACCACCTGCAGGCCCCATCCTTCTCTTTTTTAAAGTCCTGATATTTTTCTTTCATATTACAGATGTTAATCTAATGTCTTATCTCGATTTCCTGTTCAAATGAGGCAATGAAAAGGTTGAATGGAAACTCTGCATTCTCAGTAAAGCTTGCCAACTACCATAAAGTTTTTTTATAGAGAGGAGATAGGTAAGAGGCTCTTTTTCCTGAATATCTTCCCCTTGATATTCTAAATGCCAATATGGGGACAGCTTTACTCTCAGGTCACAAAAGTCACACTTAGCCAGTGAGCCCCCTTTGCTTCATTTTGTGTTTTTATTTTTTTTATTTTTTAATTTTTTTATTTCATGGGAGAAAGAGAGACAGACAGACAGACACAGGAACCCCCACAGGATCTTCAGACCACAATTCACCCCAGCATCAGCCAGGATCAAGGGTGTACAAGTGCATTTCTTGTGTATATAAGGAGACCTAGGGACACAAACCTAGGACCTTCCTATGGCCTTGGCATCATGGAATGTGTCATTACCACTGTGCAACTGTGGCGGGCCTCTAGTTTTTTGGAAACAGCACCTATCCATTCATATTCTTTATTTTTCTGAGGGTAGGAATGGCATCTGGCAAATGCCTGGCTGCCTGTCAGGCAGTGGGGGTGGCAGGGTGAGAGGATGGTGGCCAAAGTATGTGCAGATTGTTACATAACAACCTTTAGTCGATTCCTTTATTTTGTTTTCCTTTTCCTTTTTCTTACTAATTTGCTATAGCGTGCAATACACTTACCAGGGAGAGACAGAGAGGGAGAGAGAGGGAAGGTGAGAAAGCAGCCCCCAGCATGCATCCTCATGTTGCAATTCCTTCTCCTCTAGTTCTCCTTTCAAGATTCGGGTCACACACGCACATATGCCCTGGTGTTTTTCAAGCTGCCATGTCCAGGATTTGAACTGTGCAGTCAGTCAGGTGGGTTCCAGTCACCTTAACTACCACACAACCAGCTGGCCCAATTTCTTTGTTTTCAAAGTCACCAGTTCCCATACTCTATCCTCCATTTTATTATTTTCCCACTGATTTATTCTATTTGGCCGTTCCTACTTTATTCTGGAACAACTTTTTAAGTATGTCAATTGATCAGATTTTTAAAATAATTTAATTTTTTTTATTCATGATAGCTCATGCATACATGAGAGAAAGAGGGAGGGAGGAACACCCTTTATGGGGTCACTGTCACTCACTGATTCCCTTTCTCCAGTCTTCAACCATAAGCCCAAACATGTAAGCAGTGTTTTTCAGGCTGACCCAGCCAGGGATTTGAACAGCAGTCAGCTTGTGGGATCTGGCTCCTCTTGAGCAGTGTTGTACTGCTATGCCATAGAGTTAGCCCGCAATTAGATGTTTTGAGTGTTCTGAATGTAATTTATATTTTTAAATGCAAGTTTTAATTGTACTAAAGGATTTTGAGACTTCTTACAATCTTGATTTACATGTCACTGATTTATCTTTTAAATTCCGACTCCTCACCGGTTGTGTGTGTGTGTGTGTGTGTGTGGGGGGGGGGGGTTTTATACAAACATGTGCGTGTTGTGGGGTGGGGTGGGGGGTGGTGGGGGGGGGGGTGTTTATACAAACACCACTAAAAAGTACTTTTCTCAATTTTAGTTTTCTTTTCTAGAAAAAAATCTTTTTTAAAAGTGTGTGGAGGAGGGCCAACAGGTAGTGTAGTGAGTAGGGTCCTTGGCTCCTGCATGGGCGACCATGGTTTGAGTCCCAGACCTGATGGCTTGAAACTCACACTGAGTACATGTGTGCCCAAGATCCCCAAAGAAGAATGGAGGAGAAGGGATGGCAGTGCGGCCATTCCCCGGGGAGGTGATTACGTGGGGACCAGCAGGTGGCGTGGTGGTTAAGGTGCTGGACACTCCCACATGGCCAACCAAGGTTCGAGTCCTGGACCTGGTGGCTTACTTCCTCACTTTCTTTCTCTCTCTTCTCTCGTCAAATTAAAATAAATGACTGAATAAATAAAATTAAATAATTCTTAAAAAAAAAAAAAGCGTGTGTTAGGTATGTAGGTAGTGCAGTAGTTAAGGTGGCTAGACCCCATTTGGTCAACAGTATGATTTGAATCTGGACCCAGCACCCTGAAAAACACACCAGGCATGTGTGCATGCGTGCTCAGAATCCCAAGAGAACAGAAGAGATGGGATGGTGGTGTGGCCATCCCTGCTTTGGGGAGAGTGTTTTCTATATTTCTTTCTTTCTCTCTTTTCCTCTCTCTGTTGAGTGCATGCAAATTAAAAAAAAAAAATTCTGATCTATTCCTGCATCTAATGTGTGGTGGGTCTCTTTCTTTATTTTGCTGAATCTCTTCCTAAGTCTTATTCCACTTGTGGCCACAAAGAGCTTACATCAATCGGTAAATAAGTGAATGAATGCTCACTGGTTACTGTCACTACTCAGAAGCTTGCTTTTAGGACCCACTCCTTGGGGAGCTAGTTGATATACATGTACATGACTAGGCCACAGTTCTAGGAGCTGGAGAGTAAGAAGGAGTCCTAGCAGAGAAACTTCCCTGAACTGCTTTACAGGAAGGAAAAGTTCTCTCTACCCATGATTCAGTTTGGCCCAGCCTAAAGGCCAAGTGAAAGCTATGGCTGAACCTGGCTCCCTTTTTTCATGCTGGCACCTACTAGACCAGGGCCAAAATACCTTCTAGGGTAAAGACCTTCTTATGGGTATGTATGGCCATGTAATAAAACAAGTTTTAAAAATTAAGGTCTACGTTTCTGTGGTTCTCCTCCTTTGCTCCACATCTAGAAGAACAGGAAAGGCCAGAGTAAAAAAGACAACTGGGGTGGTCAAGAATGGAATGGAGATAAAAGGAAACTATTTGAGAGAATGAAAACTAGCAGATAAAGAGAAGAACAGGCCCTAGAGAAGGGCACTTGAAAGAAGATATATAACTCTTACCATATCATGTGTGCTTTCCTCCTCACAGCCCACGCTACCCCTAACACCTCCTTACACTAAAGGGCTGTGTTACTCTTCAAAGGTTTCTTTGGGGAGGAGTCTTTGTTCCTTTTGGATGTGACTTCAAGGTGTGATGCACTCTTTCGTTTTTTGTTTGTTTGTTTGTTTTTAAAGATAGGGTCTTACTCTGTTGGCATCCTCCTGCCTCAGACTCTCCCCTCCTGGAGAAGCTGGGATTACAGGCACACATAAGTGCCCCAGCCTCTAGGTCGGACTCAGAACAGAACCCGGGCCTCCTGCATGTTCCTGCCTGCAGAGCAGTCTTAGTAGCATGCACCACTGCAGCGGGGCCTGTGATGCACCTTGAGGCACTAGCCAGAAAGCCTGTCTCACCTGGGCTGCTTCACCTGTGTGGTCTCCCAGTGCAGCACGTCCCAGTGCTCTTCCGGCTATAGCCCTGGATGAGGAGCACAGGCTCTGAAGCCCCAGTCCTTCCATTCACTAGCTCTGTGACTCTGAGAAATTCATGTAACTTCTCTGTAAAACAGGGATTTAAAATAGTACCTACTTGGGCCAGCAAATGGTGTGGTGGTGAAGACACTGGACTCCCACATGGCTGACCACAGTTCAAGTCCTAGAACTAGCAGCTTGCTTTCTCTCTTTCTCTTTGTCTCTCTGGTGAGGGCACATGCTCTTTAGCAAAATCAATAATAATGATGATACTACTACAAATAATAAATAAAATTAAATAATTACTTAAAAGTAAATAAATAAAAACAGTACCTACCTCTGAGGGTTACTGTAAGAATTAAATCAGTCAACTCATATAAATTGCTCAGAAGAGTACCTGGTATAGAGTAAATGCCTACTTCATATAATTAATTAAGAATAAATATTACCAATATTGTAAGATGTTAAAGCTTGTTCTCTACTCCTATGGCCAGCCTCCCTTTGGCCCCTGCCCTTCTAAATCAGAGCACCTTGCTAGCATTCTGCTACATGTAGTCAGGGTGTGCACTGTGGTTTGGGAGCAGAAATGGTGGAGCCCCAGTGGTATGCTTTCCTGCCCATGCTGCTCCACATTAGAGGGTGTGATGTGGTTCTGCCAGACAAGCCTCCACTCATCTCCTAAGGATGCTGGTACTTCTCAGAAGGAGAGGTAGGAATTAGCCCTGTGCTGTGCTTCTGAAGTTCTCATGCACTCTCTCTTGTTATAACAGGATGTCTAGCGTAACAGTGCTCTACCTCCCTGCTTATCTGTGTGGGGTGGGGATGTGGATCATTTCAGTAAGGATCTTATAGAGCCACATGGATGCCTACCAGACCATCCTTCCTAATCTGTACTCTGAACAACTGCCTCTCCCAAACTCACTCATTAATTTGCTTAAATATTTGTTGGTCAGGCTGGCCCCATGGCCTAGTGGTTAAGGGAGTCAGATCTCACATGGCCACATAGTTCAAATTCAAACCCTGGCCACTTGAAAAATATGTGGAGTGCAAGTGCATGTGTGTCCCAAATCCCAAAAGGATGGAGAAATGGGGGAAAAGGGAGAGTGGCTGTGACTATACCCCACTAAGGGGTGCTTTCTCCTCCCTTTCTCTCTGGTAAGCACATGAGCCCTATGGTAAAGTAGAAAAAAAGTACTTATTGGTCATCTTCTAGAGGCAAGGCATATTGAAATAAAAAACACTGTTCTTATCATAAAAACTAACCCTTTTATTCCTCTATTACACTATATTTATACAGAACTCTTTACTGTCTTGTCATTGCCCTTGAAAAGTTCTCAAATAATATAAATTTCTGAGATACAAACAAAAACAAGAGACTTCCAGTCCAGAGATCAGGAGTGGGTGGATGGGTGAGGGTTGTGTGTGTGTGTGTGTGTGTGTGTGTGTGTGTGTGTGAAAGAGAGAGAGAGAGAGAGAGAAATGTGTAATAACAGAAAAAAGCTCAAAGAAGGTTTAGCCTATGGTACTCTAAGAGTACACAGGAAGGAGATAACTTCACGAGAAAGGGAAAGAAAAAGGATGGAGAAGAACTCAAAGAAGAGAAAACAAGGGAGCTCAGTTTGGGACAACCCTTAAACAGCAACCGTTTTCCATTTCCAGTTTTCTAACATGTTGTATGTCCTGAGAGGTCATTGCCAGCTTTCAGAGTTGTTCAAATAATGCTTGATCACTTTGTGGGCCCTTTGTAAACATAGCCTGGTGGCAGACAAAAAGCAGTCATGCTGCTTTTAATACATACCTCATATTTCATGGTAAAAAACCCATCCCCTCCAATGCCTTCAAGTGCAAAGGCCTGTACAATTGGCCACTTCTCCACCACAAACATATCAAATATCTGCAAGTGACCTAGAGGAATCAAATACAACAACACATATCAAATACCATCCTGGACGTAACAGTCTAAACCTGATCTAACACGCTTAGACAAGCATCATCTCACAAATTCACCACGGCCTCACCTAGGAAAATGAAATTCAAACAGATGAAATGGTTAGATATTGAAACTAGAACCACCAAATGAAAGCCCTGGAAATTTCAAATTGTGAACAAGTTAACAGAATTCAGATTTCTCTACAGTATAGTCTCACATTTTGGTTTCCTAAGTGAGCAAGCAAAAAATAAGTAAATAGTCGTCTATTACATCTGACTTGCATCATTTAGTGAGTATAATTATTAACAGACCCAAACTTGGCTCCTCTCCCTTAAGAAACACAGCCAATGAACTTCCTCAGGGGAAAACTACCAGATACAAATTTTTCCTTTCTTGAAAACAATAGCTTCTATGTGAAAGCTTTTTGTTTTCCGTTTTCTTTTGGTTACAATATAAGTACTGCTGAACTTGTTGGATTTTTTCCTGCGTTTTATATATCATTTCAGAATCAGCATATTTTTAAAAATAGCTATTCAATTGTTGACTATGATATTTTGGCACTGTACGAAATGTGATAAATCCAAAATCTTTGAGTTGTGAATTTATATATTTTTCACCCCCACACTTTAAACAGGGAAGCATTACAAAATATCAGTGAAAACCTAATCGTTAACACAGATGAACTTGGAAGAGATTGCTTGACTAATGCTGCTAAGACATCAATGTCTTCTAAAATCATTGGAACATATCCTCATTATGGTTTATTTAATAAAATATCAATTTACAACATTTTTTTAAAAAATAGCCATTCAGGGAACCAGCAGTTAGCGTAATGGCTATGTCGCTGGATTCCCACGTAGTCGACCGTGGTTCACGTCCCGGACCCGGTGGCTTAAAACTCACGCCAGGCGCATGTGTATGCGTGCCCAAGATCCCGAGAGGAGAATGGAGGAGAATGGATTGCGGCGTGACCATCTCCCCTGGGGGTGATTTCTCACCTTCTGTCTCTATGTCTTTCTCTGTCTGTCTGGTGAGCGCATGCATGAGCCCTATGGCGAAAAACCTCTCAAAAAAAAAAAATAGTCATTCAAATTGCTATTTCTTACTACTAAGGGGTCCCACATACATACTCTGTGTATAAGTAGATGTCAATTGTACTGAGTGCCTTAGAAGTTCTTCTACCTGACTGCAATGTTGCTGCAGAGATTTCATAGTTATGAATATAGCTCACGTAGAAAAGTCCCCAAATTTCACTCTGCTTGATCATTTGCCTTCTGTAAAAATGGATTAAGGGGTTTCCCAGCTGAATTCCTCCAATGAAAGTAGATTCACACACCGCCCAAGCAAGGTTCATAACTGGTTTATTGTCAGATACTCACTCACCTTGGGAGCTGTAAGGAATGCCAATTCTACTACAGTCTCGAACCATATCTACAAAGCTGGCAATTTTAAATTCTTCTGCAGCTTCCTCATCTTCATACTGAAGAGGGAAATTACAAGGAAAATAGGCTCTGATGAGACTATGCAAAGTCTTGTATTTCTCTTCATTTTATCTGGAGCTATCCCGAATGACTTCATAAAGGAATTCACCCAAGTGGTTTCCAAAGTCAACGATTTGTATTTGCTGATAAGAAACCTTTGCCATTCCCTTATCTCTTATCATAAACAAAGATCAACTCAAAATGGATCAGGGCCAGCAGGTGACGTGGAGGTTAAGGCAGGTGGATCCCACAGGGCTGACCGTGTGGTTGTAGTTCCAGACCCAGTAGCTTAAAAAATACAAAGGGCACATGTGGTATGCATCCAAAATTCCAAGAGGAGATGAAATTGCAATGTGATTATCCCTCTGGGGTGGGGGGTGATTTTTCATTTTCTCTCTCTCTCTCCAGTGAGTGCACACATGCCTATAGCAAAACTTTAAAAAATATTTTTTAATTGTTTTAAATTTAAAAAGGAAAAGGATTAGGATATCTAAATTAGAGTGATAACACTTATCCTCTAAATCCCCAAAATGTTCACCAAGAAAGAAGAGTTCTTGACCACTATCAGGTTACGATTTTCATAAAATCTCAAATCCCAATTTCTAGCCAAGCCTTTTGAAAAGGGCCCAAAGGGAAAAAGATACCAAGAAATTCAGACAGAAAAAAGGCACAAAGGTTAAAAAATTCTCCTAGGACAGTCCCTAGGCATTAATGCCTGGAGAGACTGGGTTTAGGCTGGCAATGAAGAAGCAAGGTTGGGACCAGCAGTTGGCATAATGGCTATGTTGCTGGACTCCCACTTAGTTGACTGCAGTTCGAGTCCTAGACCTAGTGGCTTAAACTCATGCTGGCTGTGCGTGCCCAAGATCCCAGGAGGAGAATAGAGGAGAAGGGATTGCGGCATGGCCATCCCCTCCGAGGGGGGTGATTTCTCGTTTTCTGTCTCTCTCTTTCTGGCGAGCACACGCACCCTAGAGCAAAAACCTCTCGAAAAGAAAAAAAAAAGAAGCAGGGCAGGAAGGTAATATTTTAGGTCCTATTTTAGGTCTCAATTTGAATAGTTCCCTTTTGTCTCCTTCAGGCATATGATTTATCCACAAGGCAGCCTCATGATAATTTATGAAGCTTTCCACTTAAAACAAATAACTTCACCGGTATAATCACGTTTGTTATTTGATTTTTTTGAAAGACTTCCTAGTCTAGATCAAAAATTTCTTTAGGAGTATTCTTAGACTATATCTAAGAGCCTATTCTATCTTTTCTCCTCACCTCATTTTCGGTCATGCAGTGGAAATGCAGATTTCGCCAATGTGCCACATAAGGTAAGAGGTAGCGATAATTTATAGGATTACAGTACAGATGGACACTATCTGATTTAATCAATATGATTACATCTGTAAGAAAAACAAAATCAAAACACAAGATTATCAAAGGCATTTTCTTTTAGACATTCCCTGCCCACACAATCAGTAAAACCATTAAAACTGCCTCAAAAACAACGTAACAAAACTAAATAAAAAATTATTAATATTTAAATAGATGGGCCAGCAGGTGGCATGGTGGTTGGGATCCTGGACTCCCACATGGCCGACTGCGGTTCAAGTCCGGGTCCTCATCACTTGCTTTCTCACTTTCTCTCTCTCTGTTTCTGGTGACTGCATATGCTCTATAGCAAATTAAAAATAATAATAAAAATAATAAATAAAATTAAATAATTATTTTTAAAAATTCAAGTAGGCAATGCTTTTAAAGTGACTTGAACTCTGGAGTGTTGACAGTGAGGATTCCCTAGTCTCCATGCAATGCTCCCACCATTGTGGCCGCAGGCACAGAAAAAGTCAAAAACGAGCCTTCGTCTATTGAAGCATGCAAAGCTCAACATGGCCAAATCTGTAGTACCAAACACTGCTATGTATTTCACTGCAGAGACAAATGCCAAATGGAAACTGCACAGCCAAAAGCCACTGAGGCAGGAAAATAGCACCAATTATGGCCAGTGACCCTGCCAGTGCCTACAGCTGTGAGTTCTTCAGGCCCAAGGCAAGTGCAGGGCCAAGGACACTGCCTATCAGCTTTGGGCAGGGCAGTGAACTCTGCACACAGGAAAGGCTGGAGGAAGGAAGCAGAGGCAAGCAGAAAGAGCTTCTGTAAATAGATCCACAGCATACGGATTTAGGAAGAGCCATCACTGTCGGCGAGTGAAGTAAATAAAGCAATCCCAATGGCACAAATAAACCTAGGCAAAGAGAAGAGCCATAGAATGGTGCAGAAATATTAGGGCAGTTTGGATGCCAAGAATGAAAGCAGTTATACTTTTAAAAAGTAGAGGCTCTGTTCCATGGCTCCTCAGAAACCAGAGCCATGAGGCTTACTTCTAACAAGATGCAGCTAGAAATTGCTGGAGGTGATAGCTGGAGGCGATAGCTAGAGGTGAGAAAGGTACCTGGGGGGAGTGAGCCTGATGTGCCAGGTTTAGGCAGTATCAACAGTGTCCTAGTGTGATACACCACACTTCAAACATTATTGATATAAGCCCAGTAAATATTGACAATGGTGACACACAGTTGGATGGCCTCCTGAAATAGTCTGCATATTCTGACCTTGAAGCCACTCTAAGCCCCACACCCACTGGGTGTTCCAGGGAACACACTATGGAGCCAAGAGCCCAAAGGCGCCAAAGGGCAGGAAAAGAAGTGCCTTCTCATGCTGGTCTTCCTCATATAACCCTCCAAAGAGCCCTGTTCTGAAACATCTGCAGATGCCTGCTGAGGAGTGAGAGTGGATACCTCCTGGGGAGACCGAGGATTCCACGGTATGCTACATATCATACTAAAGCATAATAAACTTCAAAGAATTGGGAGGGGGGGGGAATCACATAACAGACACCAAAACTAATCAAGCATTTTTAGGATCAAACGGGACTTTAACATCATCACTATGAACAAAAGTTTAAGAGAGTATATAGTCAGGTAAAAGATGAAACCATGAGAATGGGATGAATATGCAAACTATATGAAGAGTTTTTTAAAAAAATAATTATCTCATTAAATAGAGATCAAACTGTAGAAGCATGAATATGTTGATTTCAGCTCTCTACCCACTTGGATTTTAAAATAAATTTACTGGACTAATAAGTGGCACGCAGGTGGGTTAAGGCAGCTGAATTCCACACAGCTGACTGCATGGTTCCAGTCCCAGATGGGGGAGGCTTAAAATCACACCAGGTACATGTGTGTGCATGTCCAAAATCCTGAGAAGAGAACAGAGGAGAAAGGGATCTCAGCGTGGCCATCCTCCCTTGGGGGATGATCTCTTACTTTCCTCATGCCCTATAGCAAAACTAAAAAGTAAAAAATAAAAATTTTTAAAATGAATTTATTGGGGCCAGAAGGTGGCATGGTGGTTAAGGCGCTGGAATTCCCACATGGCCGACCACGGTTCCAGTCCTGAACCTGACAGCTTGCTCTCTCTCTTTCTCTCTCTGGCAAAAACCGATGCGAAAAAATAGTAATAAAGAAGTGAATAAAATAATTTAAAAAAAGAATTTATTAATTTGGAGGAAAATGCTCATTTTCCTAAGCACCCATTATGCTAAATGATGGAATAAACATGAAGATAAAGCAATAAAGCACACTTTTGAGGATTTAAATGACTTCCTTCATTTCAGTACTGCAATGTCCTTAGCAACCTTGGCTGCAGTGAGATGTGTGGCCAGTATGAGTTGCCAAGGTGAATTCTTTCCAACCAGCAGAGGCTGTACAGTGTAAGAAAAAAAATTCAAGTCAAAATCTGAAACCAAATTTGCATTGGAAAAACAAAACTAATGGAAAGAGTAATTTTGGTATACTCTTTCTGCGCTTCCTACTAAAAAGAAAAGCTTTAATTAATTAAGGAGAAACACGATTAAGGATTTTACCACAGAATCTTCACACACAGTAGACCAAGGTCTCTCAACCTCAGTGGTGCCAACCATTTAGATCGGTTCATTCTGTTGGGGGTGACTATCTTGTGCACTGCAGGATGAGCACCCCCTCTCCAGTCGTGACAATAAAAAATGTCTTCAGATGCTACCAAATGTCTCCTAGGGGGAGAGAAGTGCCCCAATGGAGAACCACTGTGCTAGACCCACAGCAAGATGATTTCACATCAGATGTTTGCTTTCACAGCTCCCCAGCTGCCTCACAAGAGCTGTCTGTCTCTTGCCCAGTTTTCTTTGTCTATTCCTGTGTCTCCTGACCCATCTGGCAGACAAGTCCTGATGCTAAGTATGTGATATCAGAGATAGCTCCTGGGCAACAGCCCATAGCAGCATCCACACAGGCAGAGTGTCTCAGGGCTGAGGAAGGGGAATGTTAGCAGAAAGCCTGCATTGTAGTCACAGGCACCGTCATGAATCAAAGTCACACAGAGAACAATCCCCAAAGACAGCAGGACAAAGAGCCTTTGTTCTGCAGCTGAAGATCCACATGAACACTTCCTTGTAAGAATAGCCTGCAGGCTCATCCTTGTCTCACAACGGAAAGTGCTTTCACAGAACAGCAGCTCATCATCTGAACACGCAGTGAGTAAAGGCAGTGGGCAATCAGGAGGAAAACTAGTACCTTGCCAAGATGAGATAAAGCTAAACACTCATCTTTACTTTTTTCCCTAAGGCTGATTTATCTATTAAATATACTCTGGAAACTACTTGTTAGTTTCTCATCACCCAGCAGGTGACCAATAGGAGCATACTATTTAAAAGCAAAGAAGAAATGTTTTACCAGCCCTTAAGGTGGCTGGATGCTATATGGCCAGCTGCATGGTTCAGGTTCTGGACCTGGCCTCTTGAAAACATGCTGGCAGGCCGGCAGATGGCGTGGTGACTGTGGCTCTGGACTCCCACATGGCTGACCACAGTTTCAGTCTCAGGCCAGGCAGCTTTCGCTCGTTCTCTCTCTCTCTCTCTCTCCCTCCCTCCCTCTCTCTCTCTTTGAAAAATAATAACAATCAGGGCCGGCAGGTGGCGTGGTGGTCAAGGACTCCCATAGGGCTGACTGCAGCACGAGTCTCAGATCTGGCAGCTTTCTTCTCATTTTCTCTCTCTCTTTCTCTCTCTCTCTCTCTCTGTACCTCTCTGGTCACATTAATAAATAAATAAAGTTAAATAACATAATTATTTAAAAAGAAAAATAATAACAATAATAAATAATTATTAAAAAAAGAAAGAGAGAAAAAGAAAAAGAAAACATGCTGGTCACATGTGCATACAAGCCCACAATGCCGAGAGAAGGGTAGAGAAGGGATGTGGTGCGGTCATCCTTCCTGGTGGGTGTTTTCTCACCCCCACCCATTCTGGCAAGTGCATGCACCTTTAAACAAGTTTTTTTTTTTTTTTAAGTATTGTTTTTTTGGGGCCAGTAGGTGACATGGAAGCTAAGGTGACCAATTCCACATCACCAACTGCCTAGTCCCAGACCTGGCAGCCTGAAAGACATGCTGGGGGCATGTATGTGCATGCCCAAAATTCCAAGAGGATAGGAGAATGGAAGAGAAGGGATTGTGGCATGGCCATGCCTCCTGGGGAGTGATTTCTCACTTTCTCTCTCTCTCTCTCTCTCTCTCTCTCTCTATCTTGCAAGTGCATATGCCCTATAGCAAACCTAAAAAAAAAAAAAAAAAAAAAGAGAGAGAGAAATGTTGCTTTTCATTATTAAACAGGTAAAAATCAGGGACCAGAAGATGTCATAATGGTTATGTTACTGAACTCCCATATAGTTGACCAAAGTTTGAGTCCCAGATCTGGAGGCTTAAAACATGCCAAGTACCTGTGCACGCATGCCCAAAATTCTGAGAGGAGAAAGGAGAAGGGATGCAGTGTAGCCATCCCCCCTGGGAGGTGATTTCTCGCTTTCTTCCTCTGTTTCTCTAGCGTGTGCACATGTCCTACAGCAAAAATCTCTAAGGAAAAAAAGAGGTAAAAATCAAGCTGGTTCTGTGGTAATGCACTTCTCAAGAGAAGCTGGATTCTACATGTGGCCATAGTAGCAAAATGGACCCAGCTATATGAATATGATGGCATACCTGTAGCACCACTAGCTGGGAGGCTAGAAGCCACATGGGAGGCCTAGGTTCAGTTCCTGGGCCAAGCTGAATAGGGTGGGTGTGGCTACACATAGCCACATATACCTGTAGTCCTAGCTAACTAGGGAGCCGAAGCAGGAAGATCACAAAATGGTGAAACTCTGCCTATCTCTGCCTCTAACTTTCCCTTTCTCTCTTTTTCTCTCTTCTAGGGGAAAAAAAAGAGAAAATTTACTGGACTTTGAACTATTTTAAATTTGATTATATTTTCCCATAAAAAAAACATGAAATAAGGATCCAAAGAAAAAAACCATCAAGTCCTCTCTCACAGAAAGTTTACCAATACAGAATCAGCATCCCTAATCCAAAAATCCAAAAACCAAAATGCCCCCAAATCCAAAACTTTCTGAGTACTGACATGACACCACCAGTGGAAGATTCCTCACCTGATCTAATGTGAGAAAAAAACGAGTACAGTCAAAATAGACACACAACACAGTTTATTCAGCACTCCCAAGGAGAAAAAGACCCTTTCAGTTCCCTTGAATTGCAACAGGGTAGGGTCCTACCCCCAAGATACCTCACTATATATATGCAAATATTCCAAAATCGGAAAAAATCCAAAATCTAAAGAGCTTTTAGTCCTAAGCATTTTGGATAAGGGCTACTCAAAACTACATGCTACTTACCATCTAGAACTTCTTCAGAAAATCCTGTTTTCTCAAAATCACTTGTATTCTGGTTGTATAAGCCAAACAGAAGATAATTTGCCAGCTCTCTGCAGCCTTCATTGTACCTGCTATCAATTCCTGCAAGGCAAAGAAAGGCGCTGATCATCGGGACTGTGCTTCGGAGAACAAATGAGCCCTAATAATTTGCCCCTACTCAGCAAAATCCTGACGGTGAAGTTAAAGGCAGTTCAGACCAGTTTTGTGCCAGAAATCAAACTAAGCAATTTTATGTGAAAGACAGTCTTACCTGGACTCCAAGATCTATATAGTTGAGCTGATTAAACAGCACAATTATCGAGGTCATTAATTTCTGAAAAGCAATTCTTGAAGATAGGAGTCAGAAAATAAGGACTTTCCAGGGCTTGTTAATGATCATGAAATACTTTCTGCTGGCCTAAGATAGACTCAGGAAAAGATTCACTTCCCAAGAGATATTTATCAAAGCATGTGGGAGCAAATAAAGGCAGATTAAAGGGGTCTGCAAAGAACTAAAAGATTTGAAGAGGACAAGTGGGTGGAACCACAAAAACCCATCATTGCACGGGTCAGGCTCAGGGCCTAGCACCATACTGCGTGCTGGGGTGTGGGGAGCAGCGGTGAACGTGCCTGCAGATGGCTCTCATGAAGCTTATTGTCTAGTGGGTCTGGGTCAAAGACAAATAAAAATGAAATCAAGCAATATTCACTACTGTCTCTCAGTATATAAACTGCCTGGCTCCTGCTTATCTATGAAGTCCCAGGGCTCTGGCTCCAGACAAGAGGAAAGTGTCAAGGTCAGAAGGAAGCTGTCTATGTGAGGCTAAGAGGAAAATGTGGGGAGAAGAAGCTCCAAGGACAGTAAGGACTCCCTACACACTGATGTCTCCTGCCACCTCATCAAAATAACAATAGATTCCATGGCCAAGAGGATTAGGAGAAAGACACTAACTCAGTTTATCTCACAATAATACTATTTTAAATATCTTCCTATGAAGTCAAGTTTTAAGGGAAGAGCCCCAAATCTGAGAGGGCTTGCCCACAATGTTTACCAATTCCAAAGACCAAACCCAGAGGTCCAGCAGAGGAAGACATGAGTTTATCTACTTAAGACAGGATGCTCCACTGACGGCCAGGTGCAGAAAATGATCCATGCAGCCACCAACCACGGGCTCAGGTCATATGTTAGCATCAGAGAGTACCTACGTCACCTCTAAGATCAGCAGAGACTCCTTATCTCCAGAGCAGGAGTCTAGTTCCTAACCACATTGTTTGAGGGTGACAATAAAAGGTCAGGTTATCAATTAGCAGAGCTGCCAGAGCTTGTAATGTTAATATAGCGCCTTTGATCTTGGGATGCTGACAGGGGAGAGGGGCACATACCGCTGAACAGCCCTGGCCATGAGCCAAGTCCATGAGGTAAGGGAACAGTCATAGAATGCTCACAAGGCCCAGATGGACCAGTAACTGGTTCTTAGGGAGACAGGGTGAAGAGGAAGGTAGAGAGGAGAGTGCAGTGTACACAGCCTACCCTCACAAGTTGTCCCTGAGTCCCACCTTGTTAAAGCACTGACCTAGGATGCAGAGGATCCCGTCGGGCCGAGACTTGCTGCTCTGGGTCAGTATGCTCTGGACCTGACGGAGACGGCCGCCTGTGGCACCAGGTCTGCAAAGAACTAAAAGATTTGAAGAGGACAAGTGGGTGGAACCACAAAAACCCATCATTGCACGGGTCAGGCTCAGGGCCTAGCACCATACTGCGTGCTGGGGTGTGGGGAGCAGCGGTGAACGTGCCTGCAGATGGCTCTCATGAAGCTTATTGTCTAGTGGGTCTGGGTCAAAGACAAATAAAAATGAAATCAAGCAATATTCACTACTGTCTCTCAGTATATAAACTGCCTGGCTCCTGCTTATCTATGAAGTCCCAGGGCTCTGGCTCCAGACAAGAGGAAAGTGTCAAGGTCAGAAGGAAGCTGTCTATGTGAGGCTAAGAGGAAAATGTGGGGAGAAGAAGCTCCAAGGACAGTAAGGACTCCCTACACACTGATGTCTCCTGCCACCTCATCAAAATAACAATAGATTCCATGGCCAAGAGGATTAGGAGAAAGACACTAACTCAGTTTATCTCACAATAATACTATTTTAAATATCTTCCTATGAAGTCAAGTTTTAAGGGAAGAGCCCCAAATCTGAGAGGGCTTGCCCACAATGTTTACCAATTCCAAAGACCAAACCCAGAGGTCCAGCAGAGGAAGACATGAGTTTATCTACTTAAGACAGGATGCTCCACTGACGGCCAGGTGCAGAAAATGATCCATGCAGCCACCAACCACGGGCTCAGGTCATATGTTAGCATCAGAGAGTACCTACGTCACCTCTAAGATCAGCAGAGACTCCTTATCTCCAGAGCAGGAGTCTAGTTCCTAACCACATTGTTTGAGGGTGACAATAAAAGGTCAGGTTATCAATTAGCAGAGCTGCCAGAGCTTGTAATGTTAATATAGCGCCTTTGATCTTGGGATGCTGACAGGGGAGAGGGGCACATACCGCTGAACAGCCCTGGCCATGAGCCAAGTCCATGAGGTAAGGGAACAGTCATAGAATGCTCACAAGGCCCAGATGGACCAGTAACTGGTTCTTAGGGAGACAGGGTGAAGAGGAAGGTAGAGAGGAGAGTGCAGTGTACACAGCCTACCCTCACAAGTTGTCCCTGAGTCCCACCTTGTTAAAGCACTGACCTAGGATGCAGAGGATCCCGTCGGGCCGAGACTTGCTGCTCTGGGTCAGTATGCTCTGGACCTGACGGAGACGGCTGCAGCTGCAACAAGAAACAGAAAACAGTTCCCTAAGTGCCAGCACAGCTCCTCAAAGAGGCTCGTCCTTGTGACAGTCCCACAGTGAAGGTGTGTGGAAGAGGAATCACTTTGCTAGTTATGAATATTGGTCCTTGTCTAATCCTGGTTTAAGAACCATAAAATGAATTGGGAAGGGTTCCTTTCTCTTCTCTTTTCTGGATGAGGCTGTAAAGAACTGGTCTAAAGACTACATCTGAACTGTTGTTTGTGAGCTTGCCCAACAGCTCTCTGGCTCAGCAAAGGATAGAGCCAAAGGCCCTCTCACGGTCACTGCTGGACAGGCCTGAGATTCAGCAGCTGACTCCAAAAACTTCCAATAACTTCTTGTTTTTAAGGACTAAGGAGAGTTTCCATACTGACTTGCCCAATTGTAATCATCATCAATATGTGTGGTTTTTTTTGAGAGTTTTTTTTCTATAGGGCGCGTGCACTCACCAAAAAGAGACAGACAGAGAGATAGAAAGCAAGAAATCACCCCCCAGAGGGGTTGGCCACGACGCAATCCCTTCTCCTCCATTCTCCTCTTGGGATCTTGGGCACACACACATACACCCAGCGTGAGTTTAAGCCACCAGATCCAGGACTCAAACTGCGGTCGACTACATGGGAGTTCAGCGACATATCCATTATGCTAACTGCTGGTCCCATCATCAATATGTCTTAAGAACAAAATAGGGGCCACCAGAAGTTGTGGTGGTTGGGGTGCTGGACTCCCATATGACCAACTGCTGTTTGAGTCCTGGACTTGATGGCTTGCTTTCTCACTCTCTCTCTCTCAGTTCTCTCTCCGATGAGTGCATGTGCCATATAGCAAATTAAAAAATAGTAATAAGTAAAATTTAATAAATAATTCTTGTTTTTTGTTTTTGTGTGTGTGTGTTTTTTGTGTTTTTTTTTTTTTTGAGAAGTTCTTGCTATAGGGCACGTGCACTCAACAGAAAGAGAGAGACAGAGAGACAGAAAGAGAAATCACCCCCCAGGGGGGATGGCCATGCTGTAACCCTGTCTCCTCCATTCTCCTCTCGGGATCCTGGGCACGCACGCATACACGCCCAATGTGAGTCCAAGTCACCGGGTCTGGGACTCGAACCGTGGTCAATCACATGGGAGCCTAGCGACATAGCCATTATGCTAACTGCTGGTCCCAGAATAAATAATTCTTAAAAGGCAAAATAAAACAAAAACAAACAGATCAAGACCAAAAATTGGTCTAAGAACCTACACAAAGTTCATCCCCACACTGTCACTATAGAAAATGTCAGCGGAGGATTCTTGCTCCCATTTCTGGGCAGATCTGTTATTCCTTTATCCGGAAGGATGTCTTCTTCTTTCCAAGCAAAGGGAAAGACAGGCACCCCCAGACATTAGTACTATTTCTAAGGACCTCATTCTCTCCATATCCACCCCTACTTCCTAGCAGCCTCTGAGAGAGATGCCCAGTTTCTTACTCAAGACTGATCTTTCCTCCCAGTCTCTTCAACACCTCCAGGTCCCTAGGATCTGCCTCTACTGTTTGTTACCTTAACACTACTATATTTAATCTTTTTCCTAAAGTCAATATGGTCTCAGCCCTACCATATCATTATTAACTAAAATACTTCACAAACCAACCACACTGTTTTCAAACCCCTCCACTGTTGAATTTGCTCCAGAACACTGCCCTACACTGACCCGAACAGAATTTCCAGCCAAAAAACATTATTTCCCTTCCTTAACTTCCTGGACTCCTTTTTTCCCAATGGATTCTTTTCTTTTTTTTTTTTTTGATGTTCCCATGCTTCAACTCATTTACTCCATTACTTAGTGGTCATTATTACTGTCTTTCACAATCTTTCACAATTACAAGATTTTCACGACCTTTTTTTTTTTTAAAAGACTTATTGTATTTAACTTTATTTATTTCCTTATTTTAATCTGACCAGAGAGGGACAGGGTGATGGGCGGAGGGGGGGGTGGGGG